TTGTCTTAAAGGTGTCTTTGAAACAAAAAATCTGGGATTTTCAGAAGTGGGTGTCAGGTCCCTACTCTTCAGAAGTTTTGGGCATCCACAAATTCTCTAAGTGAAGTGTTCTACTTTTCTCAGCACTAACTTTTCTATGGATATGTTAAAAATCACTTTCCACATCCTACTTCAGGCACTCCAGTCTGAAGAGTTCAGCTGATGCATTTCCTTCTGCTGTCCCAGTTACTGATCTGATCGTGGAAAGAAAAGTTTGTAGAGCTGGTAGTGTGCAAATAGAGATTTATCTATTACATGCTGCCACAAGCATGAAAACTTGTGAAAGATGATAGCAATATTGCCGCTCGCTTTCCTTTCATGCAGCCAGTTCTGAACTCCTCAAATCCACTTTTATGCGGTCCAGGAGAGAGAGAAAATGCTTTTCTTAAGAGGCACTCTCTTTGTTGCAGTTTCCCTGGCAGTGCTGATTACCTTGGGTGCTATGTGTGCTTGGCTCTCTCCAGCCATTCTTCCCTCATGTGGTGGTGCTGCGGGACAACCACGCGGGATCCAAGCCCCTGATTTGGAGGGCTTTCTGCTCTTGGCTGAGCAGCCCTTAGTGACCGAAGTCAAGGAAGCTCTATTGTGCCCTGAGGAATGTGGTGGGAAACTGCTGTGCCCTTCCTAACGCTCTCGGTGCTGGCGTGGAGGGAACCGGGGGAGCAAAGACCGACTTATTGAATAGATCCCTCCATCTCCTTCCCACAGAGCCAGCGCTGCACAGCCAGTGTCGTACCTGCTCTGCGGGCTGACAACTGCAGTTTGGATTCCATTTTGCCCAGGCTTTGCCCACAGAGCTTACATAAGTGTCTTTCTGTCCCATTCCATGTCAGAGCAATTTTAAATTTAAATGCCAGTGCTGTGGGATATTGCCTAATCTGATTAGAGAGCGTGTACCGAGTATCTTCACTGCTGCATTGCCAGTCCTTCTAGACTGCTGTACATAAGTCATGGTGTTTAAAGTACTGCTGTACATCAGGAGCGTGGATTGGAGGTTAGGCTCTACTTCTGTTGTTGTAATTTATTACTGTTATTTGTTAGGCTCGTGGAAAATTCTTTTTCATAACGTGGAAAAATGTCCCCTTTCAGAACTATGGAACTGAAATATTTTTTCACTGTTTGATGCTATTTTGCTGCTTTACCCTTACATGCACAGCCAACTGTGCACTGATCCCAGTACCAGTGAGACCTCCAGCTTGGTTTCCAGGTGGAATAATGCCACCAGCAGTGGTAGGGCAGGACAGGTGGAAATTGGTCAGTCCCCACCTCCATCCTCTCAAAAGGAGCCTCTGCTGAGTCTCTGGTTGTGCCACTGTTGACGTTTTAGATACTTGTGGTATGTGTAATGGGGTGTTTGCCCAAGGTTGTGCTGTGTGACACAGTTAAGCACACCTCCACGTGGGATTGTTTGAACTACTTTCTTTTCATATAAACAACTCCAGCTGCCTGCCAGTGTCCCCTCACCCTTGACACTGATGTGCTGGGGTGTCTTGTGAAGTTTCAGCCTGAAATGAGTCTGGGCTCCTTCCTCCCCCAGGTTCTTTGCTTCATTATTCATGAGGATTTTCTAACTAACCCACTTGTTTGTCTTTCTCATGGGGTCTTGCACTGGACTAAATTACCCACTGCATTCAGCAGAGGCTTTAGTGCACACCCAGAACTCTCCAGAGCCTGAGAGGGCTGGATCAGTAAGGGCAGGCTCCTCATTACTCAACCCATGTTCCTCTTGGTTTGGTTGTTCAGTTCTCAGATCCAGCACAGATCCTGCAGTGCCAGCTGTGAGGATGAATTTCTCCCTCACTATGAGCCAAACAAGAGATATACATATATATATATATATATATATATGTATCTCCATGTAGTGTTGGTTTATTTGAGGGGGAATTTATGTCATTTTGGTGGTTTTTTTCAACTCATCCACAACAGACTCAGCCTCTTCCAGGACTTGGAAGCTCTGCTGATGATAAAGCACAGTCCAAATGTAAATTACAACAGCAACAAATCTAATCTAGTACAGGACTGTTTGTAAAAGTACTAGGACACCCTGGTGGAGGCTGCATTGGCTGGAAAGAACCACTTTCAGTTCTGGGTGTTCATCAGTAGATGGTGCTGGCAAACTGCACATCTGTTTGTGCACCCCTGGAGCTGGCTGCTGCAACCCCCCTGCAGATGGAGAGGTCCAAGTTTCAAGGTGCTTTCAATCCATACCTGGAAGAACAGGAGCCGTCTTTTGCCCACACAATAATCCACATTTCCTCCTGACTCAGGAAATGCATTGCCTGAAGCTCTCAGACTGCTAACCACGGCCAGAAATGGTGGTTATTGGCACACAAATTTGGACAGGCCTGCAGCAAAACACAGAAAACTGGTTCCACCGTTTTATGAAGGGGAGATCTCTGCACACGCAAGGGCTTGTGAGGATGTGAAAGCAAATACATGGATTTTCCCTCCTTGAGTGCCATCTTGAAGTGGAACAGAGAGGAAGGTTCCAAGCACAATCCTTGTTCTCTCCTCACCCCAGCAAACCTACAGGTGATTCTTCTTAAGCTTCCAACTGAAACCTTTTTTTTTTTATTGTTGGATGTGGCCTTATAATAAGCATTATAATCATGCAAAGATCTGAAATGAGAAGTTGAAGGAAAGCACAGCCTTTACATGTTTTTTTTTAATGTCTTCTTAACAGTTAGAAGAGAGTGGCTAATAATCTCCATCTTCCTTTGCACAAATCTGTAATTAAAATTACTGTTGATTTTTGCCTGGCCTCGTGATCAGTGTTGGTAACACTGGTTGCCAAAAGATGCAGCTTGACATTAGCAAGTGTTTCATGTGTGGCATCTCTAGTTTGAGGAGGGACTGGGTAAAAGGAGTTATTAAGAGGAACTAGACAGTAAATTGATTGTGAATGGGCTCACAGTAGACATGTAAAAGCATTGTCTCATTGGGTTTTTTTCAAGCTGAAGCGGAGCTGCCAAAGTTTGTGGGGGCCACACACATTTCGGAGTTGACTGAAATATCCCAGCTCCTTTTTCATAATGCATATTTACTTCCTTGATTTTTCCTTTATTTAGATTTTGAAAATGTACATGGCAGTGTTTTCTGAAAGGCTGCAAGAAGGCAACCACGGTCAGAAAACAGAACTGGGGAGTGATCACTGCAGCCCGTCATCTTACTGTGCTTGAAACTTAGTGAAACATTTGTCTTTTAAGAACAGCTAATTATAACCACATGTAAAGCTTGACATCATTACCTGGATTAAGTCCTGTGGCTTTTTCTGCTTTACTGTTTAATTCTTTGGGAGCATTTTAGAGAAAGGTGTTTAGATAAGTGAAGTTTTTAAATTCCCTATTAAGCCACTATTAAAGGAGGCAACTGCTATTTTTTTTCTCTGTAGACTCATAAGAGATCCATAGGGGAAAAAAGTAATAGCTGGGTCATGGAGATTATTTTAGGGGGACTGTGTTGATTCTGCCTTGCATCCTACAGAGTCAATAAGAACAAACCCTGCCTAACTTTGCTTGGAAAGATCCACACCCCACAAATCCTTTGATGTTCAGAAGCTGCTCATCCCATCTGGAGTGCCAGTTGATGCTGAAAAGTTGGGCAAGAAACTCTCCAGACTCGTTTAGAGTATAGAAAGCTAAAAAGCAGACACATTTATTTCAGCGCAAGAGTGCATCAGAAAAAATCCCAAAAGATATAAATGGATTCCCACAGGTTTTGTAACTTTATACAACTCTCTGATTACAGATTCAAGGATCAACTCACCTGTTCCAGCCCATTTTCAACCCACCACAGGCCCCTTTCATATTGCTTTGGAGGTTGTAAAGTTATCCCTGGTGCCAGGCATCAGTGTCTTTCTTGCTCTGGTCTTCTCTTGACTCCTTGGATCTGGTGCAGTTTCCTGCCTTCTGGGACTGGTTCAAGACCTAAACCCAGTCTTGTGGATCTGTTTTGTCTTCTTTATCACTTTTTATCCAGCTCTTCAAGGTGCAAGCAACCATCTCTGTTATTATCAAAATTCTTACCTGTAAAGAATCTTCCCAAGAAACGACAAACTCTGCTCTTTCTCTTGAGAACTTCCAACCTCACTAACATCCTTGAGTTCCATGGCCAGCACTCTCCCTTTAAAATGCTTTGTCTAAACCACAAAAATTCTGTGGCTAACGATTTCTAATAAAATACTTAATTTTGTGGCCACACAAAGGGCAGAACCAAGACCTACCGAAGGAACACATCCAGTGCAAGAGGCCCTGCTGACAGCGAGCTGGTGCCACTGCCTTTGTCTGTGCTGGGACCCAAAGTGGGGCACTCCTTGGCCCTGGGAAGTGAAGGTAGGAGGTGGAGTGGAGCTACTGATGGCTACACTCTTCTCTTACAGTGAAACGGATGAGTTCACACATTGGTGCAACCCCTCTTGGTCACACGTGAAGTTTTCAGGAGCACACAGAACAGAATTCCCTAAAGATGCCAACAAGGCGTCAGAGAAATTCACACTTGAATTTTGCGTGACCACTGATCACCTCTTGTATCAACCAACTTATCCAGAACGGGAGGACCTGGATCTCCGTGGGTGGCATGTTCTTTCCTGCCACAGAGGAGAAAACACTGACACTCACCTGGCACTGTAATGTAGGTCATGCCTGTTGCAGCACAGCAGCTGAGCAAATGTGAGCACTGATAAATGGGTCTGCAGATGGTCCTGAGAGAAATAACAAGCCATATCTTTTATTTCCACCTTCCTATCATCGTTTTTTTTTTTTCATCTCCCCCCACCTCCAAACCCAGTGAGGTATAAAACAAAACGCCACAGCCATCAAAAAATGTGCTGGTGGTTCTGTTTTCCGTCCGTGCCTGCTCACTTCAGAGCCCACAGAGCTTAGATACGTGTTGGTTGGCTATGTGTGTGTTGGAGTTGCCCAAAGTCCAAGCGAAGCTGAGCGCTGTGACCTCGTGTCTTGCAGAGCAGCCCGGACGCCGGTAGAGGACTCTGTCCCAGCTCGCCGCGGGTTGAGGCCGTGGGATCGGTTTATTTCTTTTTCCTGCTGACGCTGTCGCTGCCCGGGGGGGTCACCACGAGCCGCAAAGCTGCTGTCCACGTGGACTGGTGCTGAGATCTCCCGCCCGGCCGCCGCCAGAGCCTCGCCCGCCAAGCCCAGAGACATGGCCACCAACGGAACCAAAGTGGCGGACGGACAGATCTCCACGGAAGTCGACGCCTCCATCACCAACGACAAGCCTAAGACCTTGGTAGTAAAAGTGCAGAAGAAGAAGGCGGACCTTCCAGACCGAGACACTTGGAAAGGGAAATTTGACTTTCTTATGTCCTGTGTAGGTTATGCCATTGGCTTAGGGAATGTGTGGAGATTTCCGTACCTTTGTGGCAAGAACGGTGGAGGTATGTTGGCTTTTTCCTTATTACGGCCTCTGATATAATTCACAGAATCACAGAATCTGCTGAGTTGGAAGGGACTCACAGGGATCATCCAGTCCATCTCCTGGCCCTGCAAAGGCCCATCCCCAAGAGTCACCCCCTGTGCCCCAGAGGATCATCCAAACCCTCCT